CCATAAATCTCTTAATTTCAAATATTTCCTACTTGCTAGAGTAAGTCCAACAAAGACTTAGTTTCAATAAACCTTACGGCCTAGTTTAACTTTTGCCCTTGAAAAGTTTTATAATGACACCATCTTATTTCTCCTGGCTTGGTCTGGAGATTTGTCCTTTGATTTGTCTCTTGGGGCTGCATCTCAAGAAAAGAGGTTTGAAAATTCTTTTTTCTCTGTGTCTCCGTCTTTCCACCTGAGTGGTTGGAAAGAACACCCCCACCTTCAGGGCTCCTAAAGACACCACAGGCTCTATTCATCATTGGTTCCCCGCGGTCGAGGGGTGGGGGTGGGGGGGGTGCCCTCAGCCCAGCCACCACTAGGGGGCGTCTTATCCCATAGAACCTCCCGAATGGAAGAGGAATGGCTTCCTATGTGTCGCGCTGCCAGCGTCCCACGCCTACACCTGGGACAAAGCGGCCTCCTGGGCTCCACAGCTTCTCTCCCACAGGTGTGGGCTCTGCCCCTGAAATGCGCATCGAAGGACAGGAGGAAGACGGGGTCCGCGTGGCCTGTACGGCCTCCGGGTGGTTTCCGAAGCCCCAGGTTCAGTGGAGGGACCTTAGTGGAGAGAAGTTCCTGGCTTTCTCTGAGGCTCATGCCCAAGACTCTGATGGGTTGTACCACGTGGAGGCCTCGCTGGTGGTGAGAGACAGCTCTGCTGGGAACGTGACCTGCTCCATCCTCAACCCCATCCTGGGCCAAGAGAAGGTGAAGGCTATTTTCATCCCAGGTCAGAGCTGTTCCTGCTCACAGCAGGGCTGGAGGGAAGGGAACAGGGTCCTGGGTGCGCTGGGCTGGGCTGGCCTGGGTGGGCCCTGACGGAGTCTCTGGCCTGGCCGCAGAGCCCTTCTTCCCCCAGGCCTCTCCCTGGAAGCCGGCTTTTGCCGTAAGCCTGATCATCCTGTGTCTCCTCATCCTTGGGGCTGGCTATTTTCTCAAGAAAGAACATTCAGCAAAGGTGCAGGCGCGGCAGGAACACGAAACTCTTCAGCAGGCTCACGAGGAGGACAGGCAGAAAATGGCAGAGGCACTGAAGGCCAGAGGCAAGGCAGGGGAGGGGCGAGGCTGGGTGAGGGCAGAGCTGGTGCTGAGAGGCAAAGCTGACAGCAGGAGCAGAGCCCTTGGCTGCAGCCTCCAGGAAGACCCAGGGCCCCTGCCCAGAGCAGGAGGCTCAGGAGATTCAGAGAGGGCAGTTTGGCTGTGGAGGCTTGGATGGGTCTGGAGGGAGAACTTCCTCCACCATATGGAGAGGGTCTTTTTGTGGGTTTTCCAGGCACACCATCTTTTCCTTTTCTTAGGGATGGGAGTTCATGCTTATTTTTTTCTTTCTTTCAGATCAACTCCAGGCAGAGCTGGGTAAGTTCTTCTCTCCTTGCTGAACTATCTGTGTGCCATTTGGGAGACATTATTGCTCTTAGCTCACCTCATTTCCTGTGTGTTGCCTTTCAGACTGGAGGAAGGTTGTTTACCAGGCTGGTGAGTAACTCTCTAGATGTTCCTGGGTCTCCCGTCCCACCTGTGCCAGGTGTCCCATCTCCCCATGTCTCTCTGGCATAGACATGAGGACCTCATTCCATGGGGGCAGAAGTTGAAGGTGGTGGGGGAGGAATCCTGCTCCTGGGGCTCTATGATCTGGGCCTCTACTTCCCTCCCAGTGTTGGGACCCTGAGGGTGATGCAGAGACTTAGTAAGGAGGGAGGGCAGAGGGGAGCACTTGCCCTCCTGCCCGGGGCGCAAGTCCAAGGCAGCACGGATTGGGTGTGGAATGACATTCCCAGGCACCACAAACGTGAAAGGTGCCTGACTGAGGCACCCAGACAAGAACGTGAAGGTGTTTCTGCTGATGTGTCACCGCTATCATCCGCTGTTCATCTTGAAATTGGGGGTGGGGTGGGGTGCAAATTAGAGACCCCCCTGGGAGCTTGAATGGGGTGGGGGCAACCAAGAGATTGCCCCTGGGCACTTGTTACATGGCTGCAGCTCCTGTGTGGTCATGATCCCTGGAATCTGTAATGCATTGTTGGTTTTCTCATTCCAGCCCCGGCCTGTCCACTGTATTGTTAGTTTTCTAGCCTTCAATACACAAAGCTCTCATTCTGCACCTGGAAGCTAAAAGGCAGATGCTCAGGGATTTCCTTTAAGGAGCTACATAAATAAATTGGGTCACTAAGTTTAGGGGTGTGACTTACTGGTTTCCCAAGAATCCTCCTCTCTGAGGGTGTCAGTCCTCTCAGGCTCCTGCAGGTGCTGATGGAAAAGTTATGGGGAGAGGACCGGAATTAGTAAGCAGGGAAAAGTGATAATATGAGCTGAGTGCTCCCCAGAATACAGGTGTTATTATCTCTAGAAATATATTTTTCCAAAATGCTTGGCCACTTTTCCCCTGGTCCTGGCCATGTACCTTTGTCCTTTTTCATTCCCCCCTTTGGAGGGAATAGATATTTTCCAGAAATACATTTGCAGAAAAGGACTAGACATAACAATGCTTTCTTACAATTATGGAATAATTTACATTTTATTCTTTAAAATATCATCACTTTTTTTTTTATTCTTAGTGGAATGCAGGTAGAACAGGAGTTTTTGAGGTTCTTGAGGCACAGAGCAGCTAAGTGACTTGTCCAAAGTCCCACAGCAGCAGCAGGATGGTGTGGAACTTAGACTGTAATCTCGGCTTCCTGACCTGTGGTCACGGGACTTTCCCACCATCCCTGGCCAGCTTTGCATGCTGCAGGAGTTCATCTCTTTTCCAGCATCTGTCTCCCTCTGGATAGGCACACCCTTAGGACAGAAGGGAGGATGGAAGCCAGTCATTTCACACTTAATCTGGCTGCAGTCTCACCAGGGTGTGTTCTCTTTCAGCCTGGAGGAAGGCCCAGTTGTATGCAGGTAAGTGACTCTAACTTTTCTGTGGCCTTACCTCCCTCAGCCCCAGGGGCTCTGCCTCAGCCTGGCCTTCCTCTTTCAGTGGACCCCACACCAGGATAAGACTGGAATCTCTGCTCTCCTTATCACTTTCGTAGCCTCTCTCCTGAGACTGCAGGGACTCCTCCTTGAGTACACAGATCTGCGTATTGTTGGGGTCCTTTCTCTACCGCAGGCCACTGTTCAGGTTAGCAACACCCTCTGAAAACATGTTGTTCACTTCATACTTCCAGTTAGTGCTGTCAGTGACAATGGAGAGTTCAGTTGTCAGGAGGGACAGGAGCAGGGTAATAACTCTGCAGGTCAGGCATTGCTGGTCTCCAGAAGGTTTCAGAAACGACACTTGCCTGCTGAGGCTTCAGATGTTCCTTAGGGAGTCCTTGGTTCTAGATGCCTCCGGCCCTGAGAATCCTATCCATTTGGATCCAGTTTTGATTTTCCCATTTCTTTCTGGTCCTGTGGATATTGGTCTTCTCTTTGCTTCCTCATGCTCTGACTCCCTGCCCTTGTTGAGTTTCTTCCTCTAAGTCTTCTTGGTTGCAGAAGAAATAGTTGCTTTAGAGCAGATGTTCTGAATCTGGGGTTCAGGTACCTCAAGATATTTATGGATGGGGCCCTGGATTGGGGTCTGTGAACCAGCTGAAAATATATGAAAAATTCTGTGTATGTGTAACAGGAAGAAAAATGTAATGTATAATTGTTCATAGCCATTATCTCCCCTTTTAGGAGAATTCTGTGTTTGTCTAATGGGCTGAGTCCTAAGTTGGGCTAGTTAGGGGTAATGAGTGAAGACTGCAAAAGGAGAAACCTAGAGAAGTTAAAATTATTTACAAGAGAGAGAATGGGGAGCAAATCAGGGAAGAAAAGAATATGTGGGGAAGGGAGAAGGAGATAAGAAAAGTAAAGGAGAGTGTGGGAGACACCTTGTGGAGGTTTCAGACAGACCAGAATGGTCAAAGAGAGGCCAAAGGTCGTATTTATGGTGGTTGGATTTGGGGAGTTGCACAGACGGTTTGCAGGTCATTTGCGTGCATGAAATGTAATCAACTCCCTAACACCTCTTTGAGAGATTTCAGTAAGGATTGCATTTATTTTTAGCCATTTTTGTAGTAAACATCTAACTGAGTTTGCCTCTGATAATAAGATCATGCCAACTTTCCAGTGGAAGGGGGTTATCCAGAGGACCTGTTGTCACTGGGGTGAGTTCAGGATGTGTGCCCTGTGGGCCTGTGTAACACTCCCTTTCCCTGCTCTAGATGTTTCTGTTCTGAGTCAGGGATATGGGTCCTGAGAGACAGAGAGGTGTGAGCCACGGGAGCCAGGAGATCTGAGGACCAGTTGTGTGAGGAGTCCACTTCATGAATCTTACTGATTCTCCGAAGGATTTATTTGCAAACAATGAGGATCATGGTAAACAATGTGGAACAATAAGGAGATTATCTTCTTTTACTATCTCTTCCTTCTTTGCTGAATTGAAGTCTCCATCCAGTATTTTAATGTACATGTTGTATATCCTTTTGTTGTGTAAGGACAAACACCACCATTACCCTAGAATCAACATTTTCATGTTAATAGGTTCGTAGTGTGAGCCGAAGAAGTGTCTGATGTTCTCTTATTTATAAAATTGGAATAATAATTTCTAACTTAAAGATTTGCTGTGAAATGAAGTAATGCGTGTATTAAAGTCTATAGCAAAGTACTTGATATATCTAGAGTTTCAAAATTAAATGTCAGTTCTCTTCACTCCTCCTCCTGCTTATTGTTCTCCTTCTTCTTTGGTAATCTCCAGCAATTATGGTATAGAAAATTACAGTCGGGTATCAACTAATGTCTTTGTGAAAAAATCAGCAAAACAAAAGCTCACTTTTCTCTAAGGGGACAAGTGGATTAGCCTGACCATTGTATGTGATGTTATTTCCATCAAGCAAATCATCAAAGACAAAAATGCCAATATAGCTGAATGAGCCTGGAAAGTGGGGATGGTGTTCACATATTTACACATCACATATGCAAGAAATATGGCATTTACTTATTTTTATAAATGATCAAATCTTGTTCCTTAGTCTGTACCCTTTAGAGGTGTTGAATAATTTCTAAGAGTTGAAACGAAGTTAAAACAATGCTGGAGATTTATTTGTCCATCATACGATTTGCGAATTGAACAACACACAGTATGAGACCGGGTGTTGCTCCCGAGATGAGACAGTCTGAGGTTTTTATAGTCCAAGAAACAAAGCAAGCCAGGGAAATCCAAGCAGTTTTGATGAGTCTTTCAGTATTGAGATCCTTTCTTCCTCAGGACTGTGTTTGGCTAAGAAGACAAACGACGCAGGTCTGACGGGTCAGTGCCTGCTGACACCAGCTTGTGTGGAATATAGGCTATTCTAAGAGTGTTAGTTACAGGTAAAGTTAAATAAACAAGCTAGTTATTATCTCTCAAGTTTAGGTTACCTAATGTCTTAAACAATTGCCCTGTGAGACCAGATTTTGGCCATGTTCTCTGGACTTGGCAGAAATGTCATCAGTTTTCACATTTTGTTTAGTCTCCACATAGATTTCTAGGCTCCACAGAGGCAAAAGCTCTGCCGCTGAAGACATCTCAGGGCCTTACAACATACATAAGCTTTGCTTTGGTCACCAATCTGCCTTTCTCCTTTCCCCATGGATTATGTGAGATGAAGATTATAGGGCTTTAGAACAGTGACGGAGAGGAATCTCTGTGCTCTCCATTTGTTTCATTTTAAGTTTTTGCCCTAGGGTGGCTGGTCTGATCTGATCCTAAGACCTTTGTGTTGGTGTGTGTTTAGGAGAAGCAGGTCTCGTCTGGCCATCTGGGGACATCGTTGGTGACCCTCTTCCCCATAGTGGAGTCCATGGTCTTAGTCACTTGTCTCTGATTGGAAAATAGTTGTATTATACCACTTGTTCCTCCTAACTCCGTACCTCCTGATCTTAGTCCTTCCTGGTCCACTGGTTCTCTGGGCATTGTTGTGTCCCCCCACCTCCCATCAGAGCATGTGAAAATTTCTGGGTCTTCAGCTTTCCATATGCAGATCATGAGGAATCTCTTACTCTCTCCTCAAGATACTTCCTCTGCCAGTGCCCCTGCTGCATGTTGGATGTGAGTGTATTAGTTTTCTATTTTCTGCCATAGGAAACTACCTCTAATTTAGGGGCTTAAAACAATACAAAGTTATTATGTTACAGTTCTATAGGTCAAAATTCTAACCTCTGTCTACTGGGCTAAAATCAAAGTATGGACAAGGCTGCCTTCCTTTCTGGAGGCTCTTGTTTTTTCAGCTTCTAGAGGCTGCCGACATTCCTTGGCTTATGTTCGCATTCCTTTATCTTCAAAGGCAGTAACACAGCATCTTTCTGTCCCTGCTTTCATTATCCCTCTGTTTTTGACCACAGCTGGGAAAAGTCTTTACTTTTAAGCATGCATATGATTCGATTGGCCCACCTGGATCATCCAGGATAGTCTCCCCATCTCAAGGTCCTTAATCTTTCTCACATCTGTAAAGTTTCTTTTACTACTGTAAAGTAAGTGGCTTCAACAGGTATGTTAGCTAATAATAAATGGGGATTAGGGACTACAGGAAATCGAGGTATCATTCTTTGATTTATTGCTGTTAAATCTTGACCAAATCTTCAATCTTGATTATTAGGTTTTTGCACCGGGAACACAG